CACGCGATCTCAAGTAAACTCTCCGAATACATATTTAAAAACTATACGTTGGTGTCCCTAATCCTATCATTACCTCTTTTGCTGTTACCCATCTTTAACATCTTATATATATATACATATATGAATTGTATTAGGTTATTACGTGACTCATTAATTTTGTATATATATTTTCTGTTACGGAAAGGACGTAAGTAAGTTGCAATAACTTTTGTCCAATCCATTTGTCTTTTGTTGCAATAAAATTGATTTAAACTAAACGTGCACGCACATGCACTTGCATTTTATAGGGATCTTGATATTTTACAAACCACTATTTTCACAGAGTTATTGTAATCTCGCTCGACGACAAAAGTCGTAGCGACCTTGAGCTTGTCAACTACTGTTAGCACGTGCACATATGTACAGGTAAGGTCGGTAAACAAAACACATCAGTCTGCATTCTATGCGTCCATATACGACCCTCTTGAAGTCGTCTGATCTTATGTCAGTGTCTTCCCGTGAGTTAATTATTGTCTTTGTATCATAAGCTTTATTTCTGAAGTACGTGTGATTACACATTTCCAAGTTAAGTCTCGATTTCGGGTGTTCACATAAAAAATTATTATCGTCACGCACGTGTACTATTGTTTACCCGGTGTTACTATAATTTACACGGGTCCGTCGATTTATCCAATACAACATTACCCAATACAAACGTCGATTTACCCAATACAACCATATATACGCGCCGATTTACCCAATACGAACATCGATTTACCCAATATAACCCAATACTACCCAATACAGAAAGTAAGCACCCAATAAAACTGATATACCAAATAAGTATACAATTAAAGTTAAAAATATGTAGATCTTAATCGGGCGTACTTGTAAATGTATTTTCATTATTTATGAAGTAAATTCTGACGGGAATGATATACAATAATTTATCGTTGTTACATTGGAAAAATTATAGCAAGATATATTTCATCGTTTATGAAGTAATTTTATCAATTACCACCGAAATGATATACAATAATTTATCGTTGTGATATTGGATAAAATACAGAAAGATTTATTTCATTATTTATGAAGTAAATTATCGCGGGAATGATTTACTATAATTCGGAAAGAAATCAAAGAAATACAAAAGTTATTGTTATTTGTAGCTAGCATCACCTGCCAATCAATGGTCAGGTGTAAAACTGGTACAGATGACACGTGGCCAAAGCCATACCTAAATACATGTCAATCACATCACACGTGGACATAATCCCTACCTTCATTCATTCATTCTTTATTAACCAAAAGCCCTTAGGCTTATAGGTACATACATATATACATATAACATTATCTAAACATAATTAGAATAGACAGTAGAGTGACATCACAGTATACATAAAACAACGTTCAATAATGTGACTATAAAAATACTTAATTAACAATTACAGTTATGGAACACCACAATACATAAACCTATAATTAACGCCTCTTGAATGCCAAATATAAATATTTACCTAAATTGGATAGCTCTCTAACATTATTTATACTAAGGAGTTCAGGGATCCATGAGTAGTTGTAGTAATTTAAAAATTGAGGGTTTTCTGTAATAGTATTTTTTTAATTAATCTGTGCCTCAAATCGCTATAAAATGGACAAATCAAAATAAAATGGAACTCGTCTTCTATATCTCTCAAATTACATTTGTTACAAATCCTGTTTCTCTGTATGATCTGATGATGTCTAAATGAAACAGGTGTGTACAGATGTGTAACTTTATGATTTCCATCGGTAATACAAAAGAAACCACTGGTAATTACATAAATTTGCTCAGATTGTTTCATGTTCGGGAAAAAAGTAAAATTACACAATTAGATAAAAGCTTAAGAAAAGACTTACATGTATATAGGCTATGCCTGTGGTCTGGTCCATTTGTTAATACATGTATTATTATATTTCTTCTAAGTTAATTGTATTTATCTTTGTTTGTATTAACAATGAAATATTTTAAAATGAAATAGATTGAATCAAGGATTTCCAAATAACGACGATCTTGCCAAAAATTACCCGGGTCCGCACAACATTGTTACTTGTATTGGGTACATTTAACTCTATATTGGGTTGTATTGGGTAAATCGACACTTGTATTGGGTAGTATTGGGTAGTATTGGGTTGTATTTGGTAAATCGACGCGCCGATTTACACTATGGTAATGGAATGCCCGATACGCAATACGGAAATGACGACACGAACATCGGAATGTGCACATAAATGAATAAATAAAGGATGGTATTTACAAAGAGCCTAAAATGCAGGTATTATTCTCGGACCAGTCTTAATTTTCGCAAGAATAGCACGACAGTGTTAATGTTTATTGTTTTAAATATGCGACATTAAATAAAAAATCTTGTATCATTGTACAGAAGCGATTAACAACGTGATTAAAATGTTTGCACACGATACCAAAACATACCGGGCACACGATGCCAAAACATACCGGGCACACGATACCAAAACATACCGGGCACACGATACCAAAACATACCGGGCACACGATACCAAAGCATACCGGGCACACGATACCAAAACATACTGGGCACTGGATCCAGGAGAGGATAAGAACGATCTGTAAAATGATCGGAACAAAGTGTGTGAATGGACTAACACCTGGCTGGTGGAGTTGACTTCAGACGGGTGTAAACACATGGACATCGATCTCCTTGTAATTGGGGACTTCAGAAAATGACCCACCCTACTCTATAAACCATAGGTTACGTAGGGTATGGTTTACAATCGGTTACAAGGGAGAAGGACCTTGGTGTTACTATCGATACAAACTTGAAATTTAGTTAACACACCAACCAGAGCCAACTACATGTATAACCTGGGTATGATGTTTAAAACTGAAGTTTGATCAACAGGAAAATGTACACAACCCTGCACAAATCGCGATCCAAAGTGAGTTAAACCGGTTGGACCACAGTTGTTCGTTTATGGAATAAGTCCGGACCTAGTAATTTGATGCTACTTTCAGTCGAGTCTTGACAAAGCCTTGCAAGGCTTGCATAAACATTTGCAGGTCCGACAGGTTTACGAAAATGTCACATTTAAAAACAGGCAAACCGGTTGAACCGGATACGCGAAAGGGGCACTAACTTATGAACATCACTGAGGTGTTAATTTATAAGGACAAATTAAATATCTATTGAAAATGTCCAGAGAAGAGGGACTAATTATAATTAAGCTACATGTACATGTAGTTTCTGACCTACCACAGAGAACGGGCGTCTGATGTATATCGTGTTAGAAATATATAAGTAGTGTAACTGTAAACAGGAGAGGGAAAATACAAGGCTAGACTGGGGCTCGAACCCGGGACTCTCTAAACCCTAGACGGACGCTCTGCCAATTGAGCTACCTGGTCGCCGACGATCGACCCAGTCCAGTTCCGCTACAGTAGTAAATATTTCAACAACAAGGGGTAAACTACGATAAATAATTTACTAAACCCAGATGTAAAACCAGCGTTAGAGCTCACTCATGTGGTAACAGAGTGGAACAATCTCCACAGTCAGGGGCAGTGGTACGTTTGTAAAGGTTCCATCCCTAGCCTGTTTCCTTTAAAAGTAGATTCAATTAACAAGCACTACACCTAAACCACCCTTCTACTCAGTCTTCTTCTTCTTAGTGGTAATGGCGAATGTAACGTCAAAATTGTCGATTACATGCCATGCGCTGGATAATGTACAAAAGGGAGTTAGAAAGAAGAGGGAAAGATCATTACTACTTTTTTTTTAAACCAAGCAAGTTTCATTGTGTCCACTTTAGTTTCCATTAGTTTCAAACAGCCAACTTGATGCTAGATTATATATATATTGGCCTGTCGCTGGGAATACATTTTTAACATTACTTACTGTCGCTGTGGATGAAGACGGAAAAATATTTGTTTAATCATATGGAAATCTCTCACGAGCACGTTTTCTTATCCTCCCTAGTTCCCCTTGGTCGGGTAACACATTTAATTTTCAAGTTGTAAACAATTTTAATCGAACAATTTATAAAAATTATAACTTAAAACATTGTAAACCCGATACATAAACCACTGTATACAGTGGCGGATCCAGAGCCCTATCTGGTGGGGTTTCCAAATTTCCTGGGTGGGTTTCCATGTGGGGAAAAATTGAGGAAAATGGTGAAAATACATGATTTTTAAAGAAAATTCTCAGGGTGGGGGGGTTTCCTGAAGCCCAAAAACCCCTCTGGATCCGCCACTGGTATAAGCTTATATAATTTTAATGAGTTGTATGCATAATAGAAACTTTGGAACGTTAGCAAGTCTAGCATTTATTAAGTCAAGCGTTAAGCAGACTCAGATTTATTTTGTTTACATCTAGTTTCACTTTGCGTTGGCAACATAAATGATTCAGCGGTTTACACCATCCGAAACGTCATCGTCTCATTTAGATATGACAAACATACTTAAGTTTCCGGTTCACGTGCCACTGTAGACAACTGTAGATCGGCGCCGAAGTAAGCGAAGAACGACAGACGAGGAGAAAACACTTACATTGAATTTCGTAAGTATATAAGTGATGTACATTTACACAGGTATAGATATCTATCGATTGTTGCTGAGAAACAAAACAGGAAGCCAGGTAGATATGTGTGATGTACCAGTCAGTTATACCTACATATTTTCTGTAACTATTTCGTGATTACTCATAGTAAGTACAATGTACATTTAATTGTATAGACGTCTTTCTATTACTGTCGGCGATTTGAAAAACACAAATAAATGTTATCAAAATAGTGTCACAGTGGGCTTTAGGTCTCGCAGTCATCTAACATTCCTTAAACCTGTAACAGGAGAGGAAAAATTGTACAGCCAGACCAGGGTGCGAACCCGTGACCCAAACGCGATCGACCCAGTCCAGTTCCGATACATTCCTCCCTTCTGTTTCTTTTTCTCAATGCAATTGAGCTACCTGGTCGCAGACCACTGACCCCCGTCCAGTTCCTCTACAAAACAATACTGTGTGGTTTTCCCTATCATTGACTCCACTCCCATCCAGCAAATTTTCTACCATACACCAGGTTTTTTTTATCCATATATAAAACAACAAATTGAATAAAAAATGAATTAACATGGTGAAAAAATTCAAGTCAAAATAACAGAGTAGTATATATTAAGCTTAATCATGTACCTGTACATGTGCCTGGCTGTATTCTACCATTATGGTAAGGTGACCCCCCCACCCCTGTCTGCCCTAAATTTCCATACTACCACATGTTATTGTTATTTTCATACACAGACAAATTTTGGAACTGAACTACAATGTAAGTCAAGTAAAAAAAATGGCAGCTTTATTTATCACAAAGGGGAGTGTGTTGTTCAAATAATCATGTTGCTTTTATAGTGTTTATTGCAGCGATGGTTAACCAGAAGAGGCTAGTTCATAATGGGGAATGAACTGCAGTTCCCATAACCATTATATATGGTATTTTAATTCCTGACCCCAGTTTATTTTAATGTGCTTCACAATGCCATGCATGCCACACCTGCATCAGGTCCTTAACCCGCATTCAATTGATACAGTGGCTGAGAAGTAATCAATATTTTTTTGCTGAATGTTCCCATAGGGATTGAAAGGCGTTTTTATAATATTCATGCAGGTATGAACAAAAATCGGTTACATCCATATTGCATGAAGCCCTAAGTAGGGCTAATTCATGTTTAATATTGATGTAACCAATTTGCGTACATACAGCTTTTTTTTTTTTTAAACGCGGTTCAATCCATATATTTACATTTTTACTATAGAACAAATGTTTTATTTTATTTATTTGTTCTTAAATAATTTATTTATTTAGTGCATTTTGTTTATGCGTCGTCCTTTAAACGACATTGGCAGAACAGCCCTATTTTAATCAAATTGGCGCCAATAATTAACCGTAGTCATTTGAGTGTTTGACGTAGGGCATTCTCCATGTTATCCGAAGCGAAGCGACAAGACTCTCATTGAACAAGGTTAATCCATGATGTCATAAGTAAACCACGTGATAGGTCACGAGAGGTTTTGCTTTCATACTCAAATGAAATGCATTTCTGCTGGTAATGCTCATATAGTGGGTTGCAGTGCAAATGTAAATATAAAATAATAAAGTGTTACCTCTGATATATATATATATATAGGTTTACAATGTACAATATCTATATATATATATGTAAGATAATATAAATTTCCGTTTTGAAATGTTGATTTTCTCCTGCGCATCTACATGTATTAATTCATTGAACATTATTTTAAAGGTATGTCTAACGCTGGAAATCTGAAGGATCGTAAATAAAGTGACAAAATGGCTGATGCGCAGGGAAGAGAAACAAATGCTGGTGGTTATCAGTGTCATCTGAAGGCTTGTAAACTGGGAGGAACGGTAAACCCTTCGGATGCCAGAGCAGAGGTCAGGGGTTACACTGTCAGTGCAACGCAAGGTATTTATATACACTTGGTAGAAACATTTTTTATAACAACCAATTTGATTAAAAACGTAAAAATGGTGTTTTTGTTGAACTCCTGTAGAATTTTTTATCAATTTCCTTAAACATGAACTTCATGTTACTGTATGAAATTGATGTCACGTTCTCAAAAGGTCACAGAATCTCAGGTAATCACACCTGGCGAGTCTTATTCCTATCCAGGAAGGCAACATTAGTGGCCAAAATATCTAGGTATGTATAGTCTTTAAAAAAAACTACAGAACATCTGTGTTTTATTACCCAGAGTTCTTAGCAAAATGGGAAGCCGATGGAGGGGCTGTGTTTCACATGGAGTGCTGGCAGATATTGAGCGATCTAGCCAACAGGTCAAAGGTCACCAACCTGTGTAGTAAGGAGAAGTCACTTGTGCTAGAGGCTGAGGATACAGCCGAGTTACATCAGTCCATGGACTCTCTGACGGCAGACGCTACCAGGATAGCTCGCATGATCAAAGAGTGCAAATATCCCATCGCATTCACAGGTATGGTAATAATTGATAAATATTTTGTCTTGATGGGGATGGTAGCTCTTAAATCTTGTCCAGTGTTATAGACACCAGGTGAGGGACTCCCTAACTCATGTCCGGTGTTATAGACAACAGGTGAGGGACTCCCTAACTCTTGTCCAGTATTTCTAGACAGCAGGAAAGAGAGTCTCTAAATCTTGTCCGGTGTTATCCAACAGGGAAGAGAGTCTCTAGGTCTTGTCCAGTGTTATAGACAAATCGGAAGAGAGTCTCTAGGTCTTGTCCAGTGTTATAGTCAACAGGGAAGAGAGTATCTAAATCTTGTCCAGTATTATAGACAACAGGGAAGAGAGTCTCTAAATCTTGACCAGTGTTATAGACAACAGGGAAGAGAGTCTCTAAAGGGAATAGAGTCTCTAGGTCTTATCCAGTGTTATAGACAACAGGGAAGAGAGTCTCCAAATCTTGTCCAGTGTACTAGACAACAGGGAAGAGAGTCTCTAAAGGGAATAGAGTCTCTAGGTCTTGTACAGTGTTATAGACAACAGGGAATAGAGTCTCTAAATCGTCTCCAGTGTTATAGACAACAGGCAAAAGTCTCTAAATATTATACTATGTACTAGACAACAGGGGAGAGAGTTTCTAAATCTTGTCCAGTGTACTAGACAACAGGGAAGAGAGTCTCTAAATCTTGTCCAGTGTTATAGACAACAGGGAAGAGACTCTCTAAATCTTGTACAGTGTTATAGACAAAAGGGAAGAGAGTCTCTAGGTCTTGTCCAGTGTTATAGACAACATGGAAAAGAGTCTCTAGGTCTTGTCCAGTGTTATAGACAACAGGGAAGGGCCTCTCTAAATCTTGTCCTGTATACTAGACAGCAGGGAAGGGACTCTCTAGGTCTTGTCCAGTGTTATAGACAACAGGGAATAGAGTCTCTAAATCTTGTCCTGTATACTAGACAACAGGGAATAGAGTCTCTAAATCTTGTACTGTATACTAGACCACAGGGAAGAGAGTCTCTAAATCTTGTCCTGTATACTAGACAACAGGGAAGAGAGTCTCTAAATCTTGTCTTTTATACTAGACAACAGGGAAGGGACTCTCTAAATCTTGTCCTGTATACTCGACAACAGGGAAGGGACTCTCTAAATCTTGTCTTTTATACTAGACAACAGGGAAGGGAATCTCTAAATCTTGTCCTGTATACTAGACAACACGGAAGGGACTCTCTAAATATTGTCCTGTATACTAGACAACAGGGAAGGGCCTCTCTAAATCTTGTACTGTATACTAGACAACAGGGAAGAGAGTCTCTAAATCTTGAACAGTGTTATAGACAACAGGGAAGAGAGTCTCTAGGTCTTGTCCAGTGTTATAGACAACAGGGAAGAGAGTCTCTAAATCTTGTCCTGTATACTAGACAACAGGGAAGTGAGTCTCTAAATCTTGTCCTGTATACTAGACAACAGGGAAGGGAGTCTCTAAATCTTGTCCTGTATACTAGACAACACGGAAGGGACTCTCTAAATATTGTCCTGTATACTAGACAACAGGGAAGGGCCTCTCTAAATCTTGTACTGTATACTAGACAACAGTGAAGGGACTCTCTAAATATTGTCCTGTATACTAGACAACAGGAAAGGGACTCTCTAAATCTTGTCCTGTATACTAGACAGCAGGGAAGATAGTCTCTAAATCTTGTCCTGTATACTACACAACAGGAAAGAGAGTCTCTAAATCTTGTCCTGTATACTAGACAACACGGAAGGGACTCTCTAAATATTGTCCTGTATACTAGACAACAGGGAAGGGCCTCTCTAAATCTTGTACTGTATACTAGACAACAGGGAAGTGAGTCTCTAAGTCTTGTCCTGTATACTAGACAACAGGGAAGAGAGTCTCTAAATCTCGTCCTGTATACTAGACAGCAGGGAAGTGAGTCTCTAAATCTTGTCCTGTATACTAGACAACAGGGAAGGGCCTCTCTAAATCTTGTACTGTATACTAGACAACAGGGAAGAGAGTCTCTAAATCTCGTCCTGTATACTAGACAGCAGGGAAGTGAGTCTCTAAATCTTGTCCTGTATACTAGACAACAGGGAAGAGAGTCTCTAAATCTTGTCCTGTATACTAGACAGCAGGAAAGGGACTCTCTCATGTTTTATGTCAGATTTTTTAAAGTTTTTTTCTAACGTAATTCCTGCAAATTATTTGCAATTGTTTCTGTATCTTACCATGAATTTTCAAGAGGAAAGAATGATTATACTGCCAAATATGTACTCTACTCAATAACTTCTACAAAATTGTTGTCACCAAAAGTGTAAACAGTTACCGTATAATTTCCTATTATGTAATATACATGCACTGTAAGTATTAAGTTTTACCTGTGTAGGTTAACTAAATTGTTATACCTACACCTGTTTCATCAGCGTAACTAAATAAATTGACAGGGGCCGGGATTTCAACATCAGCTGGAATTGGAGATTTTCGAGGGATCCATGGAAAGTGGACCAACCGGGATAAAGAAAAGGACCATGGTGAGTTATAAACACAGTATAGCGATAAACTGGACTGTATACTAATTTGCCCTCGGTATCATGGAACAAGTCTTCAATTTCATTCCATTTGTCTTATTTTCTTAATTAAAAGTGTCTTACATGAAGGAAATTTTCCTTAGTAATGATAATTTAAAGAAAATCTTAAGGACATTTTTTTTTCAGTTAAGGAACATTTGTGATTAACTTTAATGGCCGGGGCAAAATGTTCTACAGAATTGACTGATTTGGAGCTCTTTATGATTGGAGATGAATATCAGGATAGTGTGGTTTGTAGCTTTAAGAGGTTTAAAAATAGGTTGATCAATTACTTGTATTACAGGGAGCCAAAAGGAAGGAAAAGCAAAGGCCAAGCGAAATGTGATGTCACTCCGCCCTACTTACACTCATGAGGCCCTGCTCAAGCTCATCGAGATGGGTTACCTGCAGTATATTATAAGTCAGAACACGGATGGACTTCATCGACTTTCTGGCATTCCTGAGGACAAAATTTCGGAACTCCATGGAAATGGTTTCGTAGAGAAATGTGAAAAATGCAACAAGCGCTATGTTATGAATCACAATCATAGACTAGGACCGAAGGACCCGAAAGTGCCAGTGAAAAAATGTGAACACTGCCGAATTAATCACAGGACCGGCAGAATATGTCCCGATCCAGTGAGTCTTCAACAATTATCTCCCTTTAATTTGATTCAATATGCTTTACAATAAGGGAAACCTGTGTGTGCCATGTTTCAATTTGTTTCCAGCACCTATCTGGGTCTAATAAGCTTAGTTAAGTCGGAAAAATTAATTATATTTCAAAATCTATCAAAGAGTTTAATGTAATTGAGGGAATACTCACTTCATTTATCTCCAATTAACTTCCTCTGTTTTTAACAAGAAAAAAAATACTTAAATATCCCTGACCTACTGTCCAAAACTGTATTACTGTGAATTGGAAACAAAAAAAAAATCGGCATGACTTAAACTTTGATAAATTATTTCTGATAAGAAACCAATACCTTGCATGACTTTTATGAGAATAGAAAGTATATATAAAACAAACAAAATATAAATCAACAACAGTGTTCTGGGCCTAAAAATTCAACGGTGCCAGACGAGGGTCAAACCCTGAAAAATTGCTACACCATCGCTCTAACCAATTAAGCTACCTGTTTAAAGGAAGGGGCTTTGCCAATCTGTGCTTGTTATATCCTAATGGAAGTTAAGGGGAGATAATTGTTTATAGGAAAAAACACAGTAAACAGGGATCCTTAAGGTGATAGGATTGTGTCGCCATTTCTCAGTAGAATTTCTTCAAATTTTGTAGTGATATTGCTTTGAAGTAAAGAAAAAATTCTGCCACAAAAAAAAATATAGGTTGTCAGAATTGTAAGGATTTTAAATGGAAATCTATGTAAAAATGAGTGAATTTTGAAAAAAAAATGAAACACGAAATGTTTTGCAAAATAATGTCAATCAAAATGATACTGACATGGATTAGTATTGCATTAATGTATATCAATTTCAAAAATGCTGAAATTGTGTAAAATTAATTATTTATACACGTTTAAAAATTGACATTTAATAATAAAACCATATGCACATAGTATTAAATTGCAGGTAAGAGTTATCGTTCTTGAAAAACTTCACAGTAGTGAAATAGGTAGCCGGTTTCCTGAAGTACAGAACATTGGATGCATGTGACGCATTAATTAAAAAACAACTGAATTAATGCTGGATTGCTTTGAAATACTTTAATATTAAAAGAACACACTGTTCTGTCAATAATAAACATACAATATTCATCAGTTTAATATTAAACATTAGAATATGCAGAAATTGTGATACTGTCTCCCTACATTGGATTATCAACTAGGGATGTACTTCCTACTTCCATTTAGCAATAAACTCCTATGACCTCAAGGTAATATTTTAGATATAATGTCCATTTTTTTATAGTGTTAAATTTTCAGTCTATCCATCATATTGCTAAATGTTGGAGAAGTTTAAGCCAATATAGAATCTGATTTTAACAGAATATTTTTTCCTGCCTTTTAGAAAACCATTTTGCCCTGAGATGAATACAGCAACCACAGACTTAATTTTGACAGTTTTCTGAACTTCCTTTTGTATCTTTCACAGAAATGTAAAGGCTATTTGATGAACACCATCATCAACTTTGGTGATAACCTGGAGGAACATGTACTTAGTAGTGCGATACACAACGCTGAGAAAGCTGACATGGTACTGACTCTCGGCTCAACTCTCAAGGTCTCTCCGGCCAATAGCCTCGTCACTATGGGGCAGACGCCGGTCAAACTGGTCATCTGCAACAGGTATGGTCACTTTAGAATCCTTAAGTTGTGTCTGGCAGTTTGTGATTGTTTAATATTTTTTCAGTGCACTGGTAAATTATTTACAAGTCAGGCATTTCACTAACTTCCATTTGAACAGACCAAATGACATTTTTACCGCCCAACTTTTATGAAAATACATGTGATGTAAAAGAAAAAAGTGATATGAACGGACCAAATTGAGATCTGAACCAGTCGTTTTGGTCTGCTGCCTGTTCTTAATGAAAACCATGCAAGTTATAGTAAATTGCTTATGAGAATATTTGTTTTACTTGACTATTTCTGTATAAATAGAAAGAGTATTGAATTCGGGCTTAAGTCATGGTAACTTTCTAGTAGAGTCACACATTTGTTTTAATCATAAAAATAAAAATGCACCAACCCTGAAGGTCACAAAGGTCAAGTTCAAAGGTCAAAGTGAAGGATCCAAAAGTCATGCAACTAATCTACTGTACTCACAGAGGAGTACTTGGGGTATTTGCCTGTTATATTATATTATATGACCCAAATTAAGACAGAGCGGATCTTTAAAAAGTACTTTACAAGTATTGTTTCTTATTGGGATTGTATTAACATTATACCTGTGTGTTGCAGACAAATCACACCTTACGATGACGTGTGTGAGAAAAAGGACCCTTCTACCAAAGCACAGCTAGGCTGTCGTGTGTTCGGCGACTGTGACGACTTGATGAGAGTGGTCATGCGACAGTTGATGGACGCCGGCCAGCTGGAGGAGTGGGAACGGGGTCGAGAGGAGAGGTGCCAGTCGTATGATGGCCGGCGACAGAACTAGACCCAAACATATGGACTCTGATCCAAACTGACCCTCATAGATGGATGTTTATTACCGTATTCATCACAATTAGCACCGTTCCCCCTTTTTCAGGAGGAATTGAAATTAAGCCGACCCCCTATATCATTCTCAGTCCTGACTGGGCCTGGTCAACATCAGCAGTGACATTTGCTTTTAGGTGAAATTGAACAAGGCATCATGTAAAAAAAGTTTGTATGCACACACAATTGACAAATGTTTCCAAGCAAGAATGAAAAATATTTGCACATACAAATGTTTTCACACACAAAAGTACAAAAGGATTAACACAGTTATTATGAAAAGGGCACTTTTCTTAAAACCACTAAAGTAGACAGGAAAGTATACATTCAATAACATACCTGTTCATGTGGTAGAATAGATATAATCAATATATGTTTGTATATTATAGTTCAGATATATAACTTTGGATTAAAAAATGTTTCAAAATAATTAATCCAGGCTGAAGCTGTCATTAATTGGTAATTTGTATACCAAGATTTGGCCCTTATAATCCATATTCTTCCTGCCTTATTGTTTCATTACATACCTGTGGTGAGGTTTGATATAGTGTGATACAGCTAGTTTTCAGGCCATGTTACACAATTGCAAGGACCTGTCTTTTACACTGTGATAATACATGACGTTGTATTTTGCCAGTAGCTAGAGATCCTTTTTGACTGGAACTCTGTAACTGTTATCAAAACGTTACGTCTTTCGTCCACTGTTGCTGTTCAGTTGAAGTTTTCGGACAGCAATTTGAATTTTTTATGCAGGTAATAATGTGTAATGATTTGCAATAAAATGTAATATGTGTAAAGTACTAGCCACTTGCTGCAGACTCAGCTAGGGAGAATCTATCTCTTTAGCTTCTTCCGTAGACGACAAGAATAGTAAACTAGAGGACCGGGGTTCGACTACTAGCATTGAAAACAAATAACGACCTCCGTAACACATGCATATAAAGAAAAATTATGAATATGTAATTACCATACACATATGACATTTATCAGTTATGAACTTATAATAAGGTGAATATGAGGTTATATGAACCTGAGAAAGTGGTATTGACCGAGACAAAAGTCAAAGGTGATTATCACATTCTCAGGTCAATATAACTACATATTCACTGTAATAAAAGTCATTATTTGATATATTAGATGGTGAATAATGTTTTAATCATTAATTAAACAAGATGAAACATGAAAATTGTCAGGATGAAAGTATTAGGTTTGGCAGGGAGCAGTGTGACATCATAGTTAAACTGACGTCAAAAAGTCAGTCATTAACACAAATCAACGACCTCCACGTGATTATCATCCTACCAAGGAGGATGTAGGAATAATGTGTGTCATCTCATATTATCTGACGTCACAGAAAGCACCTGTTTATTGTGTGAATGTATGCGTCCACTTGTGCCCTAGGTGCATTCGTCCGATGTATTCCTTTATCACAATAACTTGTTCTGTCCGTGACGTAATATTTAGGGAGATGCGGTACAGTTTATTAATTGTATGATGAGGCTGTTATTTTGTAAAATATCACCGTTACACGTATTCACTTATTTATTACACTCTTAATATAAAATATGTAATAGCTGAATAACATTTGTCATGATGTCATAGGTAAAAAGCAGTAACGTCATCAATTGCAGATGGAAGACAAAAATACTTTCCTTTTAAAGTTTTTCTGCTTTATTTTTTTTATTTTTTTTTTAAAAAGAAGAAAATTATTTGATAAACAGAACCTTTTTTTGTAATTCCAACTGGTTTTTATGAACCCTTTTCAAGCTCGTTTCATAAAAATCCTTCATTGTATCTTATGTGCGCTGCTTGAGTTCCAAAGTATATCAATATACAATTATTAGGATACTGTAAAAGGGAACATTTTCGCGGTATGCAAATCTTCGTCTTTCCCGCATTTAGTAAAGTAGCACTAAAATATCCGAACGTGAATATTTTGTTATATGTATATATATAAATTATATCGATTATAGAATGTATAGATTTCAGAACCCTTGCCAAATCAAAAATGTCCACACCGCGATCAGTTTATAGCGTCACAATGTGAACATTTCACACCGCAATCAGTTTAAAGCGTCACAATGTGAACATTTCACATCGCGATCAGTTTATAGCGTCACAATACGAACATTTCACACCGCGGTCAGTTTATAGCGTCACAGTATGAACATTTTACACTGCGATCAGTTTATAGCGTCACAGTATGAACATTTTACACTGCGATCAGTTTATAGCGTCACAATACGAACATTCCACACCGCGATCAGTTTATAGCGTCACATTATGAACATTTCACACCGCGATCAGTTTAAAGCGTCACAGTATGAACATTTCACACCGAGATCAGTTTATAGCGTCACAATACGAACATTTCACACCGCGGTCAGTTTATAGCGTCACAGTATGAACATTTCACCCCGCGATCAGTTTATAGCGTCAAAGTAAGAACATTTCACACCGCGATCAGTTTATAGTGTCACAATACGAACATTTCACACTGCGATCAGTTTATAGCGTCACAGTATGAACATTTTACACTGCGATCAGTTTATAGCGTCACAATACGAACGTTTCACACCGCGATCAGTTTATAGCGTCATAATGTGAACATTTCAAACCGTTCACATTTCACACCGCGATCAGTTTATAGCCTCACAATGTGAACATTTCAAACCGTTCACATTTCACACCGCGATCAGTTTATAGTGTCACAATACGAACATTTCACACTGCGATCAGTTTATAGCGTCACAGTATGAACATTTCACCCCGCGATCAGTTTATAGCGTCACAGTATGAACATTTCACCCCGCGATCAGTTTATAGCGTCAAAGTAAGAACATTTCACACCGCGATCAGTTTATAGTGTCACAATACGAACATTTCACACTGCGATCAGTTTATAGCGTCACAATACGAACGTTTCACACCGCGATCAGTTTATAGCGTCAGAGTATGAACATTTCACACCGCGATCAGTTTATAGTGTCACAATACGAACATTTCACACTGCGATCAGTTTATAGCGTCACAATACGAACATTTCACACTGCGATCAGTTTATAGCGTCACAATACGAACGTTTCACACCGCGATCAGTTTATAGCGTCAAAGTAAGAACATTTCACACCGCGATCAGTTTATAGTGTCACAATACGAACATTTCACACTGCGATCAGTTTATAGCGTCACAGTATGAAAATTTCACACCGCGATCAGTTTATAGCCTCACAATGTGAACATTTCAAACCGTTCACATTTCACACCGCAATCAGTTTAAAGCGTCACAATGTGAACATTTCAAACCGTTCACATTTCACACCGCGATCAGTTTATAGCGTCAGAGTATGAACATTTCACACCGCGATCAGTTTAAAGCGTCACAGTATGAACATTTCACACCGCGATCAGTTTAAAGCGTCACAATGTGAACATTTCACACCGCAATCAGTTTAAAGCGTCACAATATGAACATTTCACTAGCGAAAATTTCAACTTTGATAGTATATCTGTATCGCTATGGAGCACAAATTAGAACAAATGTGTGTCGTACATTTTCCTGTCTACCAACTGTGTATTTTTACATTATAGTACCTTACAACTTGTTTATAGGAATGGTGTTTTTGGCCATTTGTTACAGATTGCTGTCAGTTACCATTTTATACATTAAACTTTATTTTACATTCCTGTTGCACTCTGCTTTGTTATTTTAAATACTATTCAACCGAACGGCTGTAGTGAGTGCCCTGGCCACCTTGTTATTTGCAAAATTAGCACGATGTATGAACTTTCCAGAAATAAAAAAAAAATAAAAAAAAAATATGTTGCTTGTTTGAAAATAATGATGAGGAGATCAAGATCAGACATTTGAACCAGAAAAATAGGCGGTGCTTATAAAGAATGGGGCACTTATTAGGTTGGCTACCGTAGCACTGTTTATATCAAGTTCCAACTGTCCTTGTGATTGGTTCTGTAAAAAGGGATTAAATATACTTGTCGCGGTATATAAAGGTCTTCAACTCATAGTTGTTGCAATGGTTGTCATTTTTTTAGTGCCGTCTAATTGAAAAGTAAATTCCTGATAATTTCATTTGTCATTTGGTAAAGGAAATTGAAAATGAAATGTGATATGAAAATATTAACGTCTCTATATAGATTGCTTTCTAAAAGGTATGGATTTATTTTTTCTATGGTAAGTTTGAGACGTATCCAAAAGTTTAATTCTAAGAATTCTAACATTCTAGAATAAGCAACTCACTTATTGAAGTAAGCACAAAAATGACATTATTCAAAGTCAGCACGATAACACAGATAATGGTGAGAATTTTATTCACTTTTTAGGGGTTGTTATGTAGACATAGCTATGCTAGTCAATTAGCTATAGGACGGTCGACAGTACAGCACCTCATTCCGCCATATTTTCGTCAATCCATCCGCGATACTCTGACACGCGCGTGTAGACGTTCGGCATGTTTTCGCAATTAGACGATCCCCATGACGTCACCCCGGCCAGTATATACTCGTTGCTCTTCACACAGACCAATGGGCCACCGGAGTCACCCTGGGTGTTGAAAACATAATAAAAGTGCGTTACAGTTTCTCTGTCTCATTCAAAATACAGTACAATGCGATCTGATTCAGTAAATTCCTTTTAAATAAAATAACTAATCCATTGAAATATTAAAAAATTAAAAGGGTTTGGCGATATATTGAGACACACGTGTAAAGGGTGGAATGGGAAAGGTGGAAAATGAAAACAGCGGTTTCAACGAGGAACATTATTTAGAGGTATATTGTATATTTTAACAAAATGACATTCTAAAGAAGTTTACTATAGTTAACAAGAGGAGATATACTGGGCTTCACGGTAAATTTGTGTATATGCTGTAGGGTTAGGGACATTATATCGAGACCTTTCAGTATATACAATGTAACAGAGGCGCATTTGGCGAGGGGTTATCTTAATATGAATGTTGGACGTTATATGGAGGTTTACTGTATATAAAATAAGGGACGCTATATCGATGATTAACTGTACATTAGCTAGAGAGACGTCAATTGAGACCTAAACTGTTTGTGAAAGGTGGACAAGCATTATCAAAAAATATCATTTTACTATGAAGAGTGTTGTATAGTTTCCTGTATATGGAATACGCATTATACGTTGTATCGAGGGTTTTTTCTGTGTGTAAGCGAGAGACACTATATGGATGGGTTTCTGTATATAAACAATAGACATTAGGTCGAGGTTTAGCTGTTAACTTACATTAAATAAACAATGGACGTTAGGTCGAGGTTTAGCTGTTCACTTACATTATATAAACAATGGTTGGTAGGTCTAGGTTTAGCTGTTCACTTACATTACACGCGGACTCAGATCCTCCGCCTACACATATGTGAGTTGAGAGTATCGACTGTAACAACCAGTTAATATTACATAGTAAGTTACATTATATAAACAATGGACGTTAGGTCGAGGTTTAGCTGTAAACTTACATTATTTAAACAATGGACATTAGGCCGATGTTTAGCTGTTGACTTACATTATGTAAACAATGGACGTTAGGCCGATGTTTAGCTGTTAACTAAAATAACATTATATAAACAATGGACGTTAGGTCGAGGTTTAGCTGTTAACTTACATTATATAAACAATGGACGTTAGGTCGAGGTTTGGCTGTTAACTTACATTATATAAACAATGGACGTTAGGTCGAGGTTTGGCTGTTAACTTACATTATATAAACAATGGACGTTAGGTCGAGGTTTGGCTGTTAACTTACATTATATAAACAATGGACGTTAGGTCGAGGTTTGGCTGTTAACTTACATTATATAAACAATGGACGTTAGGTCGAGGTTTAGCTGTAAACTTACATTATATAAACAATGGACGTTAGGTCGAGGTTTAGCTGTAAACTTACATTATATAAACAATGGACGTTAGGTCGAGGTTTGGCTGTTAACTTACATTATATAAACAATGGACGTTAGGTCGAGGTTTGGCTGTTAACTTACATTATATAAACAATGGACGTTAGGTCGAGGTTTAGCTGTTGACTTACATTATATAAACAATGGACATTAGGTCGAGGTTTGGCTGTTCACTTACATTATGTAAACAATGGACGTTAGGTTGAGGTTTAGCTGTTCACTTACATTATATAAACAATGGACGTTAGGTCGAGGTTTGGCTGTTAACTTACATTATATAAACAATGGACGTTAGGTCGAGGTTTAGCTGTAAACTTACATTATTTAAACAATGGACATTAGGCCGATGTTTAGCTGTAAACTTACATTATATAAACAATGGACGTTAGGTCGAGGTTTAGCTGTTAACTTACATTATGTAAACAATGGACGTTAGGTCGAGGTTTAGCTGTTCACTTACATTATATAAACAATGGATGTTAGGTCTAGGTTTAGCTGTTCACTTACATTACACGCGGACTCAGATCCTCCGCCTACACATATGTGAGTTGAGAGTATCGACTGTAACAACCAGTTAATATTACATAGTAAGTTACTCATGACGTTTATCTGCACGTGCTGAAGAACGTCTGCCAGGCCACTGTCAGCTGTGAGAAGAAACAATTACATAGTCAGTTGTAACCACGTGATAAAATTTCGGATCCTGATTGGATAGCGTTCGTTCTATCATCTGAACAAAGGGACACTAGCTGGTGAAACGAAACAAGTCTTTATCAAAATGGTCTGGATAATTTGTATAAGATAGTGTGTTGCTAAACTCGCATTCTCAAAATCCAGTGCAGGTGGTTATGCGCTCACTTAAATCATTCTCAGCACCCCTGAAATATACCATGACAAAATCGAATGCATGCGGTTAGCTATTTGATTGATTTCTGGTGAAATTGCAGTTGCTAGACTGATTCCTGTTCTGTGAAGATTACAGAAGAGCGACATTCGACTTAAAAGCCAGTCAATTTTACCGTTACGCGGTCGTACGATTATTTTGATGTATATCATAAAAGTTCAAACGATTCTACTTGAATCTCCCAAAAGGTAGTGCATGCAGAGCCTTCGCTTTCGGCATGACGTTTAAATAATGGTCATATTATGATCACGTGATGCAGACGCTGTAGCAAAATTTGTTTTTCTGAAATATTCTGGAACTGTCGACACTTTTCGTAAACGAGAAAATACTCTTAATATTATAATAACGACACAGACAATTCGATATGGATAGTATATCAAATATATATATTTAGAATATAAATATAAGGATTAAAAGGGATTTTTCAATGTCCATCTGGGTTTGAACACAAATTGTTCACAAACATTTTGGCTTCTTGAAATATACATGTAATCGATTTGCGTTCATACCATCAAGAAATTAAAAAAAACGCCGTTCAATTCTCATCTATACACCAAGACATTAAACCCAAACGCTTACAAGGTGCCCTTAGTAAGACAACGATATCAACCCAATTTTAATTTCAATGTCAGATATTTTCAGTGTTAAGGAAAGTGCGACAATATCTAGGCACCCTTACCGCTCGTTTTGCCCCACCCGCTGATGTAGCAGGTGTCTGAGGAGGTGAAGTCTCTGTTGGTGTCTGTCGGTAGCTGTACAACTCCTATACCGGTATTGCTAGTGTCAGCAGGTTTCGCGAGTTTGATTAGGGCGATGTCGTTTGGTATTCCATTAGCAGATCCATCATATTGGCTGTGCTGTAGTAGAATAACAACAAATGAAATTGCAACTTTTCTTAAAATACAGTCTCCTAGCTAGTGAGTTCAAATCTTTATCATGCTGCTCCCTCGTGACAAAGTATGGATCCCAAGGAAACAAAGAATCGTGTTTCCCTAACACAGTGGTAATAAATGTGGCCGCCGATTTTCAGTATAGACAATTCCCCTCAATATTATAAAATTTATTTATTTTACAACAATTATGAAACAAGTTTCTACAACTTATATTATTCACTCTTGTTGGCCCCGTACAGTATATATACAAAGCAAGATGTCTCTAAGTGTCCTTACCTATAAAAGGATTTAAAAGTTCGATCAGGGAACATTACAACATTGAAAAATATTTCGCAAATATTAAAAAGAAATTTCCAGAATTGGTTGGAAAAAATGGAAAAAAACTTATTGATATTTCCTAAACTTCCAATTTGCCGTTTATATGTTTTATCATATCTAAAATGTTGTATTATTTAGAAAAGACGATACAGAAGATAAAACCTGTATAATCTCAATTACCTAGCTACTGACACCTATATATTACAGGATTTCTGTCATTTACCTTGTTGTGTTTAATACTTATTCCTGTCTGTGTGTGTGTCTGTGTGTGTCTGTCTGTTTGTCTGTACTTTAAACTGTGTGTCTGTGTGTGTGTGTGTTTGTGTCTGTGTGTGTGTGTCTGTCTGTCCATTTACCTCTCTTTATATTTCTTTGTTTTCTTGTTTCTCTTTGTCTGATTTTCTTTCCGTTCTTATATAACATTACAAAACTTAAAATGCCACTTTCAAAAAGAGTAATATGGATTCGTGTGAAGGTATGTGTGAAGTGGAATTTAATATGTATTACGAAATGCATATATATTTTTGTAATGTGAAAAAATACTCTGAAACCCCTACAGAGACTGACCAAAATGATCTTCTCGATGTCCACTGTTTGCTCCGTTGCGTCGTCCGAACTCAGGACGTGCTCCCCAAGAACAATCCGAAAGTTTTGGCGGTTGGAACTGCAAAATTCATATAAGAGTTTTTGATTATCCCAAAAAAAGTAAAAATCATTTTAGAAAATCTTCCAAAATACCACTTTAAATGGGACTTTCTTGTATAATTCTTAAACTTATTCCTATTATATTTGAATGAAAAAGAACTCACAACAAATTGGAATCCCACAATCATTGCTGGACTAGAACCGATCACTTTTACAAACTTATTTTTCTCTATAAATATAGAGAAAGGCACACGAGTCTGAAATTATGTCAAAAATGAATTACTATCTACTTTTAAGCATAGTATAGGTTTGTTTTATGTATTGCTGTTAGAATTATCTTTGACAGAATTTCAGACTCCTGTTGGGGTAAGGGAGAGTGAAAAGAATCCAGGCTTCTGTTGTTTGGGTAAGGGAGAGTGAAAAGAATTCAGGCGTCCGTTGTTGGGGTAAGGGAGGGTGAAAAGAATTCAGGCTGCTGTTGTTTGGGTAAGGGAGAGTGAAAAGAATTCAGGCTTCCGTTGTTGGGGTAAGGGAGAGTGAAAATAATTCGGTTCGCTTGACATGACCTGTTGCAGATCGTCGTCTCATAATTTAAATATTGAAGTGGGTAGACGGAACAATGTTGTTCGGCAGAATAGATTGTGCACTCGCTATGCTTCTGGTGATGAAATTCACTTCATCCTAAAATGTGCATTCTACATGCATCATGACCTAAGATGTAAATATATCGAACGATTCTATCACAGAGGTCCATTTGTTTTTTAAGTTAACGAAATTATTGAGTACTAATAATGTAAAAGAATTGTGTAATCTCGGAAAGTATTGATAATGTGCTACAAGAAAACGTAGAGAAATCAATGTCTGATATGGAAAGCTCCTTTTGTACTTTGCAAGCTCACTCACCACTTATTAATTTCAATATGTATACATAATCTCTTGTACATGTACTATATGATGTAATTGTTTGATATTAAACTAGGAGTCGGATGGTTCACGGAAATAAAAAAGGCCCGAATAAAAAAACTGAACAGAACTAAACTGAACGAACATGACCGCACTTACTCGAACTCGACACAGTGCGCTGCGGTGAGGACCCAGTTTGGGGCGATGAGGGACCCCCCACATATATGTGAGAAAGTCCCGGTACTGCCGTTATAGTTGAGAGAAGCCTGCCACGGCCACTGGCTTTGGTTCGAGTCCTCTCCGTTCACGATCCTACCCTCGGGGTACCGAGGCGGCAACGCAACGGCTAAATGTGAAAATTGTGAATACGAAAATACAATAATGTAATGTTATAAGTTTATATTTTAGAACAACTTATACAAAGTCATTTTACTCTGCAATGCTACAAACGTTGTTATCTTGAGACAACTTATACAAAGTCCTTTTACTCTGCAATGCTACAAACGTTCTTATCTTGAGACATCTTATACAAAGTCCTTTTACTCTGCAATGCTACAAACGTTCTTATCTTGAGACAACTTATACAAAGTCATTTTACTCTGCAATGTTACAAACTTTGTTATCTTGAGACATCTTATACAAAGTCATTTTACTCTGCAATGCTACAAACGTTCTTATCTTGAGACAACTTATACAAAGTCATTTTACTCTGCAATGCTACAAACGTTGTTATCTTGAGACATCTTATACAAAGTCATTTTACTCTGCAATGCTACAAACGTTGTTATCTTGAGACAACTTATACAAAGTCATTTTACTCTGCAATGTTACAAACGTTGTTATCTTGAGACATCTTATACAAAGTCATTTTACTCTGCAATGCTACAAACGTTCTTATCTTGAGACAACTTATTCAAAGTCATTTTACTCTGCAATGCTACAAACGTTGTTAGTATAAAAGTCAAAATACCAGTAGATAGTTTCCAAACTCCTGTCGTCACGTCCTTATATCTAGCAATCGTGACGTCACGTCACGTGAAACGGGGTGTAAGATAGAATCGTTTACATCCCTTTCTTACCCTGATACCGCTTCACAAACAGGGTGTACTTACACCCGGGTATATCTATTTACGAGTATTTTGAATCGCACTTACGAGTCGTTGAAAAGGTACATACATGTATGGATTTACACCACCCCCGGACACGGTTTTCGGACGGATTTACACCCAATCGTAAGTTAGTTACACATACTTTGTGAAACGGACCGTAACTATTACGTACACGTACGGCTTACATACGGATTTACACCCACATGTAATTAAGTTACACCCTGCTTGTGAAACGGTACCTCGCTACAGCTGTATCTTACGCATATGGAACTGGGAGAAAAGGATTTACTCAGAGTGAAAATTCCGTTATTAGAAATGTAAACCATGTCCTGCCATATTTTTTAAATTTTCATATATAAATATATATTTACCACAGCACAGCAAACAGGAAAGGAGAAATAGCTTCATTGCGGTTTAAATGCGCTGTCCTCCTGACGATCTGAAGTCGATTCTCTGTATGAGACTTCGGTATATTGTCACACGAGATGGCGGTGAAGACAAACTAATGAGAGAGCGTCCGTCTCCTTATTTATATACCACGGCCAATCGCCCTATGACGCCTCACCGAACATTGCATCGTTCGAGAGGTATTTCATCTTTTGCAATGTGCCGTTTTCCCTCGTTTATGGCACTTGTCGGTGACAATTTAAGATCGTATATGCTATTGATTGTACAACAGTCCACATGTTTCCTTCACGAAGTGCTCAAGTGCGATAAGCTTTTTTTATTTTCTTTAAGTTATGGCTTGTTACGGTTTTTATTTTAGATACATGTATGTGTTTCGTGTACTTTTAGTTAAACGTATTTCTCCCACAACGACCGGAGGTTCTCTCACTCCCGACTCGTTGGATAAACCCGCTAGGAGTTGGTAAACCTTTTTTATTATCCAACAATGGGAAACACCCTTGTTAAAATTAACCAGCCTTGGAGCAACCAGGACGTGGACGTTATTTCATTGGTCAATCCTATATCTATGACGTCACATTGCATTTGCTTTTCCACCGACAGGAATCATGTATTTTCAAGAGAAACAGGTGGTGTTCAAGACGTTATCCGAACGTCATGTGAGAAAATGGTCCCCAAAGCCGTAATGGCTAGTTACATGTATCAAGTTTGTGTAATTCTCACGAATTAATTTTCAAAATGAAAAAGAAATAATAAAATAGAAACTCAACCAAGCTCATGTAATTTTTACAATTTGAAAATTAATAATCTCGAGTTAGATGATGCTGTTATAGCGAGTCAGCTAATTAACAATAAATACCTAAACGAGATGTCTCATCACAACTTTAGCATGTACATGTATATATATAAACTCACTGAGACAAAACAAAATAGATATCAGGGGCGTATCCTGGATATCCTAAAAAGGGGGCCGAGAAATGTTTCCCAATAGTCAACGGTGTGCTGCCGAAGGCACTACCCGAGCGCGTAGCGCGAGGAGGGGGAGGGTACGTGAGGGGGTCTTCTCCCTCCCTTTAAGGGGGTTTTGGGAGATCTCCCCCTAAAAACATGTGTTTTCTAGAACGTCTCAGAAGCGATTTCCCGTGTTCTGAGGATTGTTTTTATGTTTAATTAACAAGAAGAAAATAACATATTTTAAGTATGGCCCAAAGACCTTTTTTGTGTACTGGAAAGAAAATTAAAGTTTCGGTTCAAATTCTCTATCAACAGCGTGTTTTAGAAGTCAGATGGTATTATTATAGAGGCAACCTGGTGATGACAAATGTATGAATCCACAGGGGGCTTGTTCATTATTACCTAATTTGGCGTCCCGCCCGCAAGCGGGATACGAGAGGTCCACCGTCAAAAAACTAAATGTAGGGACGCACAATATCTAGTCTTCAGACATTGTACCTACGGTACAGTACTTCATGTAATAGTTTGTCGTACAAAAGAACAAATAACACCATAACATCGTTGCTGTTTAATTAATGAGTTACTCATGGCATCACTAAGTTGCTAAACAAACGGATAAGTTCAAATCAGTGCGACACCCAAGG